AGAAAAGACTATAGTGCAGCTGCTATTTTCCTTATTTATTCAATTTTCAACAATAGAAATCAGATCAGTCTTTTCTCACGCAAAGCTAATGACTAGTTGTTTAAAATGACTGGAAAAAAATTGGGGTGCCCGAGCTCGTTAGTGAACTATAGCCATTTTTCAACTGACAGAACTCAATATCAAGGCAAATCTGCCATGTTTTAGGGTCCACCTCTTTAAACTGCCTTTCAGGATTTTTTTTTAATTATTATTTGTATTTTATTTTAGTTTTATAACCCCTGAATAAAGTCCTGTATGTACGTTATGCCTTTCCTACCATGAACGAAAACAAATTCATATTGGCAATACGAGCGCAAACCACGTTACCACTCTAAAATCGCATTGGTGATCAGTAGAGATTATACTTTACGTTTGAACATTTCACCCTAATGGCATCAACAGACATCACATTTCTGAAGTGTGAATAGCTATGTTTACAAAACACGACAACAAAAGAAGGCATACGCCAATCTCGTCCCCAAGGCCTTCTCCACCTTTTAAAATGGAAAATCGTAGAGAAGACCCTGGGGACGAGGTTGGGCATATGCAGGGTTTTGGCCCAGAGAGAATTTTTGAACTGAGTTCTCCCGTTCTAGCAACCGAATCGAAGGCCTAAAAATCAAGAGAAATTCGTAAATATCTCCGTCGACTAAAAGAAACATAGTGTAAGTCAGCATAAAAGAGTCAGCCATGGAGATTAGCCGGGCTTGTTTTAAAAAGTGTTACATGGAGATGAACGTTCGATACGTTACCAAGCGAAACCAAACCTCAGTCTCCTACCAATCGTCACGCAACGCTCCTTCCCAACTGCTCAAGCGTGAGAAAATACCCGTTTCGTGACGACCCAATGTAGAAGACTAAAATAACAAATTTCCAAGGAACATCTTACTTTAAAAAATACCATAACGATAAAGTAGAAATGCGGAGCAAGTTCTACAGGGGAAAATCAAAAACGAAAAGCTTGAGTAAGTGATCACAGTCAAATGTACCGAGGCTATCAGAGAGTAATTTGTTAACTTGTGAACGGGCCGAGATTTTTTTTTTAATTTTATTTATTTATTTATTTATTTATTTATTTTATTTTATTTTATTTTTTTGCGCTCTCGGAAAGAAGAGGGACTCTGCGGAGCAAGTATCGAACGAAAAATTTCGAGCGAACTGTATAGAAGCGATATACAGTTATAGGCAGGTCAGAAAATTTTCGGGACATGGGCATGCAAAATTATAGGAAACATTTTTTGTCTTAGATTTCTGATGGAAAGGACGTCATTTTCCTTAATTGGGGTCTTATAAAGACTAACAGGATTTTAAATCGAAATAACATTACCAGTGTTTGCGTTCTGCTTGCAAATATCGGTGAACATTCGATTTTTAATAAACCCTCAAAAATCAATATAGAGGTTATTACAGTATTAAATTAATCAATAAACTCTTTAGCTATATTAAATGAGACAAAGGCCAGAAATAGGTCCAGTAAATTCAGTAATTCTAAAAGGGTTCAAACTGTGTCTAAAACGAAAAAATAACTGACGATCTTTGTAAAGAAATGATTTGCAAAACCTTAAAACGTTATATAATATTCATAAACTACAAAGGAAAACTAATTTTCTTTTTGTGTATATTCACTTATATTACTTGTAAACATTTTAGCATAACTTGAATAGTTTTGAAACTAAGTCCGGAATAGAGTGAGAAAAAGTTTGCGTTTACAAGACTTTTGAGCTAGTGAATCAATGGCTCGCAATTTTCATGTGGTTGGTTTATGAAGGCAAAACGTAGTTCTTAACTGACGCAGTGAACATTCTCCCTCTCGCGGTCCAAGATAATTCACAGCCGTGTAGAATCGAAGGTTGAAGAAGTTTTCGAAGTGCTTACGTTGTTAACGAAGTCATCTCGTCGTTGCAACAGATAAAATAGTTTCTCCTGTGCATTTGTCAGGGTTAAAGCCTTCCTCCTTCTCTCGGTTTGCTTGTACTTGCTTAGTTATCTTTTTTCTCATTCAACTTTAACGCCATAAAAGCGCAACCAAGCATAAGCAAACGACCTCAGAAGCCTTCTCTTGCTCTCTGTACATAGTTTATCACAGTTCAATATCAAAAGGATTATTCAGTGTAAAGAACAAAAAAATCAGTGATAGTTTGATGCTTGTTCTCAAAACAGGACACATTTGCTTCCTGAGTTGCGAAAAGGGTTATCGTGCCCAGCTTTTGGACTCACCAAAGGGTCCACATTCCCTTGTTGCTCGCAGTATTGTATAAGTTCGTTAGCACACTGTGATAGCTTCACTCTTTGGACTTTCAATTCGCGACGTAGCTGTTCCACAAAGGTACGCTGTGATTGCAAGTCCTTGCTGCTTTTTCCTGACGGGATTACTGCTGACATTTTGAATAGCTGACCCGTTCAGTGTGTCCGTAACCAGGCAAAATGCTGTGCTTTTATCAATTTAGCACACTTGAATTAGCTTACTTTACGCTGCAACGAAGACCATTGAACCGTCAAATCTGGCTTTGCGGGTCCGACCTTCCTATTGGCTACAGTGGCTAATTATAATAGCCATGATGTGTAAATACGCTGTCAATCATTATTGACAGGAAAGTCAAGGGTATTCATAAAGAATTGAAAAGCATGCAAAAATGTATTCACGCATTAAACGCTGTTTGTAGGACCGCACCAGCCTCAGGAGTTTTCTAATGGCCACAGTCCAAATCATGAAAGCTTGTGTTTGACCTTGATCCAATCAAACAAAAGTTCTCGGAGCTGTCTCTTCCACTAAGATAATTTTGTCTAGCAGCAGAGTATAAAACTGTACCTTTTTTGTCTCTTGATTCTGTGTATTGTCTGGTCCAAAGCTGGGGATTAAGAAACTAGTGGGATGGAAAGAAGTGCTAGAAAGATCCACGGGAAAAAAGCAGGTGTTTTTTTTCGTTATAGAGGACTATACACAGTATGGTTCTAGTTGATTACCTGGACATCCCAATCAAATGTTCCATTTACCATACATGTGACGCCATCGACCCATTTTTTTTAAAAAAAATAATAATAACAAGAGAAGAAAACTCGATTTATCTTTCTTTTTCTTATGCATTTCAAAGTTTACATTCCGATAAACTCCTTGTAATTTGCGATCAGCCGTTCCTTTTGTGCCAAAAAAGAACGTCTAATCGCAGTTTAGAGGTGAAGAGACGAGATATCCAGTTATCAAATGTCATTGCTGCGGAAGGTTTTCGTGCACACTTCGAGTGATTAATCGAACACAAGTTTGTCTATTACCCGACCGAAGACAGAAATAAACCAAGCAGAACTTGGAGCGGAAAATCGCGTCACGCGAAATCGCGGTTCACGCAGATCACGCTTTCTCCCGAATGCACCCACAATGCGGTTCACTCCCCCACTCGGCCATGTTTTGAGGAGGGAGAGTCAACAAAATGAATAGAGGAAGAAATGTTGGCCTTGTCTGGCTGCTAACTTGTCTTTTGCTCGGTAAGATAACAATATAACAAAACACGAATCAATACTTAAAGAATAGCTGACCGAGTCTCCTTTTGAATTATTCATAAGGTTGGAAATTAACGAGCTTTTCGCATGTAAGCTCGTATAATGGCAAGGAAATCGAATCGAATTTGTGAATTATGACGTATCAACTGTTCCGTGTAACTGCAACTCCACTCTAACCTATCTGCGATGAATTGCATTTTCATTTTTTTAAACGGTTTTAGAAAAGCTTGAACCAAATTTTTATCAAAGGTTGTAATGTTATTTAACAAGCCTTTCAATTATACCTCCCAACTCAAAGACGTTTTCCGATTGGAGAAGAACGTGTCACATGATGTCGTGGGTGAAAACTTACTAATTCCCGAGGGCAAACAGGCTCATTAATTATATTTCCCAGGGGAAACAACTACTAGGACTTGCACATGATCGTGCACCTTGAAAGCGTGGCAAATAAATTTGTGAGCCAGCCGTTGTCAAGCAAATAACTTTCTCGCAGTTTGTTCTATTTTTGAGTCGGGCAGTGTAACCCTCGTCCTCAGTGTTCCCCTCAGCTTAGCCTTGGGGAACATTGAGGGTCTAGGGAAGTCCAAACTCACTGTTTCCCTTGGAGCCAGTCATTAAGTGCTTATTGTCACCTGTCCAGGTCATGTCTCTGATATCTTTGCCCTTTTTTTAACATATTTGATATTCTTCCCAGGCAAACAGTGCTTGGCAGTCACTAAGCAATGGCTACCCGACACTAATTTTAATAACCCTGCTAACTGGAATAAGAGACGAGTACCTTGTGACGGCGATAATGTGCAACTTGCTAGGGTAAGTGCTGTAATATATGTAGATTTAGTTAAAAGGAGTTTGAGCCTGGAATCCAATAGAAAACCAGTTCCTGGTCAGTGGTCAACTTCAAACAAACAAACAAATCACGTGACCTCGATGAGCTCTAAACCTGAACCTGTGATATCGTATGTGATACTGGTCAGCAGATACCTTGATTTGACAGGTGTCAATTGACCATAACATGGAAGTCCAATATCAGGTATGTATGCTGTAAATCATGGTTGTATGTCTCTGTTGAACTGTTAGCTGGAGTATGGCCGCTATGTTGCACGACATTGTTTTTCAACGCAGGGCGCGCGCATCTGCGATACACGCTGCTAGCCATGCATGTTTACCTTGAAACAAGAGTAGCAAGGTTTTCTATTTCTATGCATGCTTGTGGTTCTGTTCCTATAGTTATGGGGCTCCGCTTGGCGGCCCTTTGAGCTGCCAGAGCTCAGCTAATATATATAATATTGAGCCCTGGGGATAGGAAATCAAGGGCCTGGGCACTTCCAATTCGACTAAAAACACCTGTTTGAATTCCTGAAAATTTCCTCTGTTAAATGGAACAGCATTTTCCTGAATTTCAAGACTTTTTCACAAATTTCTTACTTGGGAATTTTTGTTCCATTTGATTTTCCTCAGAGAATTTTATACTGAATGGTTGGCATTAAAGAAATTAAAAAAATTTTCAGCTTTTCCAGAAACTTTCTGGGAAGTTTCGGTACTATTTGTGCCACCCCCTACCCCACCCCACCCTCATTTGGAAAGTTCCGGAATTTTTGGTTTAATGGAAGGCGCCCTTAAAAAGGTCCTGGTGTATTAAATATGAGAATCACATAAGTCCATCATTAGTAATGATTAAATTGGTAGTTATGGTGGCTTAGGTGGGGTTTTATTGACTGTTTAAGATGATTTCCGCAGCACATTCGAGCAATAAATGGCAAAAATAAAGTCACCAAAAAAACCTCATAGCATGGTAATATTTTGAATAAAAGTAAGAAGAACTTATCGAGACTTAAACTCTCAAGCTGACCCTGTGAGAGAAAATTGAACTTGAAGTTATCCATATTTCAATCAAAATAGATGTTTCGCATTAGTTGAAAACACAATAACACATGCATTAATCATTTTCACGAGCTTTGACATTGACTTTCTTGAGAATGCTTGGGGATTTAATCGCAGGGTCACCTAGAGAAATGTTACAGTGCTGTGAGTAGATTTTTAGTAAATAATTTTTGCACTACCTTATTGCTCGAACTTTGAGTGGAATCCGTCTTAAAACACAACACCAAAACTCTTTTTTGTATTCGTCCATATAGTCAAACAAGCCATTGGCAGTGTCTTTAAGGAGAAGTCGCACTATTAAGTCTCTGGTAAGTGTGATTAACAAACTGTCAGGAATATCATTTAATCAGAGAATGTCAACATGTTAAATATTCCAGTTTACCCACTGCACATATTAAATTTTCAGTGAAACTCAAGATAGAGCATTTGGATCATTTTATTTTGTTAATTTCTGTTACAGAGTTTGTCAATGAATGGAGAAGTCATCTTCTATGATGGTGCTGAGCTAAGCTTCAGTGACACAGATCAGGATTTAAATGCTTGCCAAGGTAAATAACCAATTCCTTAACAATTGAAAGTTTTCAGATGCAGCACAAAATACTTCAATCTTTAATATACAGGGATTTTAATTGCTAAGAGCTGCTTAACCAGCTCATTTCATCAGCAGAAAGAGAGCTTGCATTACAGGTTGAAATTTCTCTAGTCAAGAAAACAAAGACTGGGCCTGGGGGGATCTTGGAGGAAGGGGTTCGAAGGGTTTGGTCGAACCCTCTGAATTAAAAGATTGAGACATTATAACAAGCTGACTTGGCCTCAGAATGGGGGAAATCACATTCCCAAGGACCTCGATTTTAAAACCCGGACCCCCCACAGGGGACTAGCTTTGGTGGTCTGTATCTTGAACCCCCTTCTTTAAAAACCCATATCCACCTCAGTTAGCAGGGTTAATTTTGAAGTTGCACAGCCTAGAAAAGCCAGATTTGGCCTACTTAGTTGTTATTAGCTAAACATCCCTGGACTATTTGCTGTTGATTCATCCTTAAATTTCATTGGGGAAGTATCAAGCATTAATTGAATTTAGAAATGAATCAATCCCCCATTTGTAAATTAAATTAACTTATCAAATAGTAATTTTGTATTTCTGCAGATCCAGGAGACCTTCATTTTCTGGCATCTGTTCAAAACTGGTATAACCCGTACAACTGGCAGGAAGTCGCACTCAATAAACAGGCATTGACAGC